AACAACATCCATAAGGCGCATGTCAAGCCTCTCTGTGACTGCTAAACTGATCAAATATCTCAACGTGATTGCATCGATAACGGGAGAATATGTTTCATCATAATCAATCCCGGGTCTCTGTGAGAAACCTTGTGCAACTAGTCGTGCTTTATATCTCACGATTTCATTTTTCTCATTTCGTTTTCGTACGAATACCCATTTATATCCAACGGGTTTTACACCATCCGGTGTTTGGACTGCTGGTCCAAATACTTTACGATTTTCAAGGGAATTTAATTCAGCTTGAATAGCATTTTCCCATTTTGGCCAATCATTTCTATGTCGACATTCTTCGACAGATTTTGGTTCGGGGTCCTCATTTGCAATATCAATTGCAACCCCATAGGCAAAAATATTATCAATAACAACTTTATTTCTATCCCAGTTTTTTCTGGTATTTATATAGTTTAAAGATATCTCTTCAGATATAAGTTCTTTCTCATGATCCTCTCCAGGGGCATCATGTACTTTAGACTGATCAGTCACATTTTTCATAGCGCTTTCTTGTTCAGAGATAATATTCTCTTCCGGAGAATTTACTTCTATTACCCTTTTCCTTCTAGGGTTCTTATCTTTCGCGCCAATAGGGCGCCCACGCTTCATGCGAGGTTTCATTATCTCTTCATGTTGTCCTTCAGGGACATCAACCCGTGCCGGGGTGTTTATAGCGGGTATATGAGATTTTGTTACTGTTTTCATATCGGTAAAAGCATCCGGCAATTGATTTGCAATATTTTGCAAATTGATTATCCTTTGTACTTCTTTCTCACATTGATTCGTGCGTGGGTCAAGATGAGACAAAGACGGTACATTCCATGTAATTTCACGCCGTTCAACATGAACCGACGATCTCTCTCCCCCTAACGGCGGGAAAATTGTCTCATCAAAATGGCAATCAACAAATCTTGCCTTAAACAAATCACCCGTCAGGGGTTCAATGTATCTAATTATAGACGGGGAATCAAAACCAACATAAATTCCAATTCGTCTTTGGGGACCCATTTTTGTTCTCTGAGGTGGAGAAATTGGAACATAAACAACACAACCAAATATTTTTAAGTGAGAAATGTCCGGCTGCTGGCCAGAAACAAGTTGAAACGGTGAATACTTCTGAAATGAACTTGGTCTAATCCTGACCAATGAAGCAGCATGTAATATTGCATGTCCCCAAATAGAAGTGGGTAAATTAGACCGTAAAAGCAAAGGTCTAGCAATCAGTTGCAATCTCTTAATAAATGACTCTGCAAGTCCATTTTGAGTATGTACATGGGCAACTGAATGTTCAACATCAATACCAATTGACATGCAATAATCATGAAATGCTTGAGATGAAAATTCACTGGCATTATCAAGACGAATAGTCTTGATAGGATAATCGGGAAATTGAGCTCGTAATCTTATGATTTGAGCAAGAAGTCTAGCAAAAGCAACAGTACGTGTTGACAATAGACTTACATGTGACCATCTAGATGATGCATCCAATAGAACCATAAAATAGCGAAATGGTCCACAAGGTGGATCTATAGGTCCACAAATATCCCCTTGAATTCTTTGTAAAAATGTTGGGGCTTCGCTACTAATTTTCATTGAAGATGGTCTTATAATTAATTTCCCTTGTGAGCATGCAATGCACACACATTCATGGGGCAAAAGAATCTTCTGGTTCTTTAAAGTATGCCCATATGAATTATTTATTATTCGACGCATCATGGTCGATCCTGGGTGACCAAGTCGATCGTGCCAAAGAGAGAAAATTTTCGGATCATTGGACTTCTGGTCCATCACAATATTTGTTTCTATTCGCTTATAGTCGCATAATACAACCCTGATGAGAAAACTGAGAGTTTCTCTTTAACATGCTTCTGGCATGAAATATTGGTTGTAATACAAAGAAATTCCATATTCCCCTCATTCATAGTCTCGATATGAAATCCATTGAGACGTATGTCCTTGAAACTTAACAAGTTTCTTTTGGATTTATTAGAGTACAAAGCCTTTTTGACCAAAATGTTCGTTCCACCAGGCAAAATAATATTAGCTCTTCCGGAGCCATCAACTAGTTTGGTAGTACCAGAAATTGTACTAACACTTGCCTTTGCCAATTTCAAACTCGAGAAATATTTTTGATCTCGAAGAATTGTGTGTGTTGTTCCACTGTCAACCAAACAAATGTCTCCATCGTTCAGGTTGCTCACGAACTCATTATATTCCATTTTTCTGGGAATAAAATAAGTAATATAAGAAGATATAATAAAATTTATTTTCTTATATCAATCAAACCACCAACCACACATCAAAATTATTTCGAACTCATTTAGGGAATGGAAAGATAAACATTATTTAACTCAAATGCAACATAAATGTAATATTTGATCAATCCTGATTGATCTATTTGTTGCCATCATTGTTATCATCACCATGAAATTTGATTTCATCAATTTCTCCACTTGGCGCGGGAAAGAAATCAGCAACATCCAAATGGGTAAGGTCCATTGGATCAATATGGTCATTCTCGGTGTTGCTAAAATCAGTAAAATTGATTTCTTTCCCTTTTCCTTTTCCCTTGATGGATGCTTGATATAAATCCACAAGGTGCCTTGGAGTACGACATGCACGTGACCAGTGCCCTTTCACTCCGCATCTGTGGCAACTCTCATTTTGATTATTAGAAGGGCCAAATTTTACAGCCTTGCCCTTGTCTTGTTTTTCACCATTTTTATTCCACTTCGGGTGGTATGGTGCAACTCTAGGACCATCTTGATGTCGACCATGACCACGGCGATACCCACGGCCACGGCCACGACCCCGACCACGATTATAGTTGTTTGCATTCACTTCAGGGAATGAAACATTTGCATTTACTTCTGGAAATGCTTGTGATCCTGTTGGGTGGGAGTTATGATTTTTCATCAAGAGCTCGTTGTTCTGTTCAGCAACGAGGAGGCAAGAAATCAATTGAGAGTATTTGGTAAAACCTCTTTCACGATATTGCTGCTGCAGGAGCATATTAGAGGCATGAAATGTGGTAAATGTCTTTTCTAACATGTCATGTTCTGTGACATCGTCTCCGCATAATCTCAATCGAGAAACAATTTTAAACATGGCGGAATTATACTCATTTACCGATTTAAAATCTTGCAAACGCAAGTGCATCCATTCATATCGAGCTTTAGGAAGTATCACACTCTTCTGGTGATCATATCTTTCCTTTAAATTATTCCATAGAGTAGCAGGGTCCTTTACCCCAAGATACTCGGATTTTAAGCCCTCGTGGAGATGATGGCGAATAAAAATCATTGATTTCGCCTTATCTTGTTCACTTTCCTCATTACCATCTTTAATGGTATTTCCGAGGTTCATAGCATTCAAATGGATCTCAGCATCAAGGATCCAAGTTAGATAATTTCTTCCGGTAATATCTAGAGCAGCGAACTCAAGCTTGGTGATGTTTGCCATAGCACTGTGTCATAAAATTAATAGTGCTTTAGATTATATGTATACTCAAAACTTCAGGTTTGAGTCTAATTTATTCAATATATTCAAACTTCAGGCTTTGATATTCGATATAGACTTCGGGCCTATATTTTCTATAAAGAACTTCAGGTTCTTATGATAATTTGCATAACAATAAAACAAATAAAGAATAATTAAAGAGATAGAATTTTAATTGACAATAATACTTATAAAATAAATAAATTAATATCTCTTATTGTATCAAAACGTTTGATATTATTATTATGCACAAAGTGGTGTAAATTATATATGCAGAAAATGCAATATATCATGTGTGTAAGACAAAACACAAGAAATGGATTCATACAGAATCGCAAATAACAGGTTTGAGAAAATTAAGGCATTCTCATGAATACAAAGTTAAATCTTAGGATAATAATTAACATGTATAATTTAATAATAGGAAGAGACACTCTACTGTATAATATAAAACTATATGCATATAAATTAAATGTTGAATGGATATAAAATGTAAGCATAAATAAGCATATATACATAGGAATTCAATATATTTCATTTCTACATATATGCATTAGTTTATATATATTTTCAGGCAGTTATAATATGATGAGTTCACGCTAATATACATATATGTGCACCTTGACCTTTAACAAAATGGTTAGACCATAAATATTCCTGGTGAATGAATGCACATCCGAATAATTGAATACTCAACCAACAAACCTTCATGACATACAGTGAGTGCATACAGACTTTCAATTTATGTCCTTACCGGATAGTGAGGTAGAGCAATTCGTGCTGATAACGTGTTATAAATATATTAAAGAAAATCAAGTAAAACAAGAATATGGGAGATCAAATGTAAGGATAATATAACCTTTTCTTGTTATTCTTTCTTGTTTATTCAAGTGTGTCAAGTGTGTCTTTGCCTATTACAAAGTAAGCTATTTATACTACAAGGAAGATTAAGGTCCTAAGAGTTACAAGAGTGCACTTCAATTAAAGACCATTAATGGTTGTAACTCTTCATTAATTGGACATCCACTTAATGCATTTTCAATGCATTTGCAACATATACATATATATATATATATATTAGAATAGTCGAAAGCAAAGTTTCATGCCACTATATGAGACTTTGAAAGTATTAAAATGAGGAACCAACTCTTGAATGGTTGACATTTTACTGGTCGATTTAGTGATGTTTATTTATTTTTTTGTCAATTATATTACGAGGCAAGTATTCTGTTATGTAGATGAAAGACAGAATAAAAATAAATAAATAAGCGTAATTTATTAAATAATTGGACTCGGAGAGGTCCATAATCGATGAGTCGGGCGGGAAAATTATTGCACCAACTAAATATAAAATAAAACCTAATGCCTCGCTTGGTTGGATTGATTAGTCATGATTAACTAAATAATAGAACTCCATGTTTAATTAAATAAGCATATGAAGAACGAGTTTCTGCACATGATAAATGCATTTCTTAATCAACAAAGGCTGTTTCATTCACACACCAGTCAATATTGATACTCTTGGATAAGAAAAAAAAAAGAGATCAGATTTTTAAGACAACCCCATCAATCACTAAACAGAGGAGATAAACCACATTTCATACATACATAATTTTCAGCTAATTATCTGACATTAATCACCCATGTATAAAATAATTATAATCTTAAGACATGATAAATCTAGGTACAACTATGTCGCTTTCGGCTCGAACAAATTCCTTAATTAACTTGGAAACGGCATCAGGCTTCTCCACATGAGGGATATGGCCGCAATCCGGTATTTGCCGTATTATTGCGTTTGGTAATTCACTATGCAGTCTCTGTTTTCAACAACAAAAATTTACGTGTAACGTAATTATTACATCCTTAGTTTCATGTATTAGCAAAAAAAAAAAACACCGAGAATGTACTTACCACAGCGAGCCTGTTGTCGATAATCTGATCCTTTTCTCCCCATATAATAAGTGTTTTTTTCTTCACCTGCATATTTCAAAATTAATTAAGCAGGGGAGAAAAAAAAAAACAGAGCATACGGGAAAAAAAAAAAATTATTAATTGTTTTTATCGTACCTGTTTGATATTAGCAGTCACATTGTAGCCTCCACTAATCATAAAATCGACAGTGGCGTCTGCCCACCAAGGTAACAGACAATGAAGACGGCCAATCTGTATCAACCGATGCGAATTAATAAATCAAAAATATAAATGTTGATTTTTTATTAATTAGAGCTCTATATATAATAATAATAGGCGAAACGACTAACTTTAGCCCATTCCAAGCACTTATCCCAAGCTGCACCGTTAAATGTCAATGAAGTTGCAAATAGTCGCAATGGTAAGCTTCGTAAAAGATACACCTGTCCCCAAACAGATAAATACATGATTAGGCATCAATACGTACACACACACATATAAATCTTGAGGCTAATGACTTTTAGGTGTCTTATCTACAAATTAAACTACGTTCGGGTATAATTCAATCATATTAGTAAACGAAAACCCAAAATATGCAGTCCCGTAAAAATTCCGAATTATTGGCAAAGTCTCAAAATTTTCGATAATTTAATATACGACTAATTTGAGTAGCAAAATCTCACCCCAGCATATGCCACCAGTTTAGGTAACTTTGCAAGGTTTCCGGTACCTTCAGCATAGACACTTGCATCGATCAAAATCAGCTTATCAACCTAATAAATAAATGAAAAGGTCGTGCAAAATTAGTGACGCTAAAAAAATATACGAGTATTAGTAAAAAATTACGATTTATCCATTTTTTAGATACACGGCCGTGTAAGTAATGCTTACAGCTTCTGGGTAGTTGACTACAAAGTCAATGGCAACTGCTGCTCCCAGGCTTGGTCCAACCAATGTCATTGGCCTTTTGATATATGATTTCCAAAACTGCGGAAATTATAGATACAGTAGAACCTCGATAAATTAATAACCTCGATTAAATAATAGTTCCTCTGGGTCCCGACTCAGTGAAAAAGTGTTAAATTATTAACTCGGTAATTTAATAATTCGCTAAATTAATAGAATTTCCCTAGGCCCGACTGTATTAATTTATAGAGGTTTAACTGCATATATATATTGTAAGGTAAACCCTTACATTGCTACGAACAAGGGTAACAAAAAACGGGATATGATTTTGTAAATCATCTAACGTATAGACGGAGGGTCCAAGACTGAAGCAAACGAAGATCGGTAAACGTATACCTGATAGAGATGATCACGCTTTGAAGCTACACTGCACGACGGAAGCTTCTCTAAATAAACGGGAAAAAACAGAAACTAAATAAATTCCTCGAATGAACTTACGGAAATGTAAGAAAGAGAAAAATGAAAATCAAGAAAGTTGACCTAAGTCAGAGAAGCCCCATCCAAGAACATCGACGGCCCACGTCTCTAAACCAGATTCTTCGAGCATCGGAAGAGTATATCTCCATTCTAAACACGAGCTGAAGGATAAGAATGTGGTGAACCACAAAGCATACATGAAAACAAAAAAACGAGCGATTTCTTAAAAAGAAGTATAATAATTTTTCACATAACCAAACCTATCGAAACCGTGAAGAAGAACCAACGGGCATTTATCGGGCTGTTCTTTTGGCTTTACGCAGCTACTCATGATGCTTGTATTTGACAAACTTAGCTGCAGATAAGTGAGAAACAAAATCCCGATTAAAAAATTCGAACTTTTATGCTAATAAAAAACACGTATATTCGTCCACATTTACCATAATTGGTTGATCTAGATTCTAGACAAGTTGATTCATATAAAATCCAGATGAAAAACGAAAACTTTTTCGAAAATTGTACTAATCAAGTGCATTTCTAAGGATTTTTACACCAATACAATCGAATTTTTTCGACAAATGAAGTAGCAGTTCATTTGATTCTATGTAAATCAAACGTGCACTACAGCCAATTAAATAATATAAAAAAAAATAGGAAAATTTTGGAAATTGAACATTTTACAAAAAACAAAGAAATCAGGCATGCAACAAAATCAACTAACCCCAATACACACAATGAAATGAGGAAACAAAAAATTCAGACAACACCCAGCAAATTAAGACATGATTTACATTCCAATTTTTTTTTTACCATTTAAATAAAAAAAAAAAAAAAATACTTACATGAACAGGCATTCTCTCAATCCTGGAAGCTAACTTTCTGGCAAATGGGTCCTTAATACTCTCCAATTCTTTAGGAAGGAATGCCGGAATTTCACTTGCGTAAACATTTAAACCACGCTTCGCCGGCGGCGAATGGCGGGTGAATTTGTCGGCGGATTTAGGTCGGAGAATTGGTAAAGAAGCAACGGAGGAGTAGGCGATGAGCATGGTGGTCCGACCCGAATCCGACCCAGTTACTCACTGGGGTTTCTGTGTGAGGTGGAGATATTATATACGTGTAGGTTTTGAATGTATACCACACTCCCACTCTTCTGACACGTCACTATTAAGTTCATACAGTACCATGGTTCGGTTTCAGTGGGGCCCGCTTGCTTGTATTTTTTTCTTCTGATATTAAAAAGCAGAGAAAACACATTTTCAATTCCTTTCATTTATTTCATTATAGTAAGGGCATCTCGTGTCGGTCGAGGGCGGCTCCCCAACGCCGATCCCGACCCCAACCCATTTTTAGTTCAATCGATCAATCTTTTTTTTTCAATTTTTTCTATCAAAAGAACCAATCCTTATTGTACTTGAAATTCTCAGATTGCCGCTGCCAGGATTCGATCCTAGGACCTTACACCAACTTACCACCTTCAGAACGAGTTGAGCTATACCCATGCGGGCTGTTTAGGTGAATTACTTGTGTACATATATGGTTGTGTAATTTATGATGACTTTCATTCGATACAAGTGGGCTATGAATGCTTGATTTGGAACTTAAATTTCTTTCTATTTTCTCTAATAATAATAATAAAAAAAGACAATCTTTCTAAAATGATTAACCAGCGTACTTTATTTTTCTATAAGAAAAGGAAAACAAAGAAAAAAAAATGATGGTTTTAGTGTTCTTGATGTGGATATCTCGTTAAATCTGGACCACAATGTCTGAACATTAATATTGACTATATGACATGTTGTACATTTTCTTTACCTTTATTGGTATGGAGAAAATGATAATCACCTACTCAAATAAACTCCATTTATTCTATTATTTTTTATTTTTTTGTTGACAAGCTAGATAATCTCGTAGTTTTTCAAATTGCATTACGTAGTTAGCGACGAATTCAATCAATAAAATTTTATAAGATAATTTGAACTCGAGTAAAATGACATAGTTGCTCCACAGCTAAACCTTTGCAGCATTTATTCAGCCTGAGTTTTTTTATTTATTCAGTGAGATTTAAATACAGCAATAACGCGGAAAAAAGAACAAAAGGGCATTTGGTCTAGTGGTATGATTCTCGCTTAGGGTGCGAGAGGTCCCGAGTTCAATTCTCGGAATGCCCCCGTTTTATTGTTATTATTTTAATTTTCAATTTCATTAAAATGGGCTCCATGCAAAGTTTGGTTTGAGAGTGAGCCCATGCAAAGTTTGGTTTAGAGCCCCACCAACTTGGACCTAACAACTTTTTTTTTTTTTTTTTTTCTAGAATTAATATTTATCTATTTTATTATATATATTACGTAATTTATTTTAAAAAAATAAAGAAAACAATCATGAGCCGGTTCATATAATTTCGAACCGTTAAAATATGAGGTCAAACTATTTTTAGTCAACTCACCAAACTCGTAATCCAACATAACTCGTCTACACCTATAGTTATTTAACTCGTTTGCACTTGTAGTTATACCTATGATTAAATTTATTGAACTTAATTTTTTGGTGTTTTGAAATATACATAACTAATACTATACTCGTGCAATGCACATATTTGCATGGGTGACTATTATATAGATTTGTAGAGATGGAGTGATAAAAAATGGTGATACAAATTGCATCTTGATGATGCTAATTACTTAGATCATCTGGGGTGGTGTAGAAAATGAGCTGGGAGAGCAAAGCAGATCAGTAGCTTGACAACTTGATGATCCTGAGGTACCTGCGATCATAGAACACGTGAGCTAAGCCGGGGGTTGATCCGGCGGAAACCCCTCCGACGCTCAAGTCAGACGTGCTGATCATAGAAATAGTCCAGAGAATACGTATTATAGTATTGCTCAGTTAATAGGACGTACCTTAATAAAATGAGTAAAACCTCTATTTATATGTCGTTTATTGGGTTGAGTTTGCTTTGTTGGGCCCAAGTCTTACTTGAAGGTGTTTGGGCCTCGGTGATATTAGTCTTCGATATTGGGCTCGTAGCCCAGTAGGTAAACAAATTGTAGGCCCATTGGGTTGGCCCAATTAGGGATATCATTAAGCCCCCCACTCTCGAGTTGATGTGGGGGCCATGTTGTGATGGGTCTCAGATCATGTCGAGAGTAAAAATTGAAGAAGTCGATTGTTGGCGTATGGCCTAATGGTATGCGAAAACGCGTTGGAGCGTGTGTCGGAGGGGCGTGAATGCGCGTTGGCGCATAGCGCGACAAGGTTGTCGCGATGTAAGTTAATTGAGTCGTCGGTTTTGTCCCGCGACGATGTAGTAGCGAATTATCTCCTCGTGGGAGTTGTCTTGTCGCGGGGTAATAATGTTGATCGAGTTATCTTCTCGCGGGAGTTGTCTCGCGATAATGTAGTAGCACGGATCAAGTAATCTCCTCGTGGGAGTTGTCTCTGGGGTAATCGAGTTGATCGAGTTACGTCCTCGTGGAAGTTGTCTCACGATAATGTAGTAGCACGGAGCTAGTATTCTCCTCGTGGGAGTTTTCTCTGGGGTAATCGAGTTGATCGAGTTACGTCCTCGTGGAAGTTGTCTCACGATAATGTAGTAGCACGGAGCTAGTATTCTCCTCGTGGGAGTTTTCTCTGGGGTAATCGAGTTGATCGAGTTACGTCCTCGTGGAAGTTGTCTCACGATAATGTAGTAGCACGGAGCTAGTATTCTCCTCGTGGGAGTTGTTATTTTTCGACATTGTCAATGTTGTGACGCGTTGCTTGTATGTGTTTACATATAGCCTTGTGCGTGATGTACTTGATGAGGGGATCAGGCTCTCAAGATTTTTATATGGGGATCGTGCCCTTTGTTAGACCTCGTGGGTCTTAAGTATGTTTGGACCGTGGCCACGTTTTAATGAATGACCCATCGAAAACAAGTAGATAAATTTGAGTAATCAAGCTGGCCAGGCTATATAGATTCTCATAATGTCTCTAAGTGCTTCTAGGGTTGTAATCGTGCTAACTTGAGCTTGTGATTATATAGTGAATTTCGGGCGAGTTGTCTCCTCATGGAGTTGTCTCGCGGTGAGTAATATTTATCGAGTGAGGTGGTTGCACGTGGGAGTTGCCTTGCAACGGATTTGTAGTATCGAGCGAGTTGGCTCCTCGTGGGAGTTGTCTCGCTGCGGGTTGTGGTACCGAGCGAGTTGGCTCCTCGTGGGAGTTGTGTCGCTGCGGGTTCGTAGTACCGAGCGAGTTGGCTCCTCGTGGGAGTTGCCTCGCTGCGGGTCGTAGGATGAAGCGAGTGGTCTTCTCGTAGGAGTTATCTCGTTGTGGGTTCGTAGACCCGAGGGAGTTGACTCCTCGTGGGAGTTGCCTCGCAATGGGTTATATGACTGAGCGAGTTATCTCCTCGTGGGAGTTTCCTTGTAAGGGGTTGTAGGACCGAGCGAGTTGTCTCCTCGTGGGAGTTGCCTCGCTGCGGGTTGTATTACTGCGCGAGTTGGATCCTCGTGGGAGTTGTCTCGCAAGGGAGTTGTAGGAGCATCGGATGGTGCGCGAATGAGGAGCGCGCGGACTGAGGTCGCTCTGAGCGAATTGTCTCCTCGTGGGAGTTATCTCGCTGAGGGTTCGTAGTACCGAGCGAGTTGGCTCCTCGTGGGAGTTGTCTCGCTGCGGGTTCGTAGTACCGAGCGAGTGGCCTCCTCGTGGGATTTTCCTCGCAAGAGGTTGTAGGTCCGAGCGAGTTGTCTCCTCGTGGGAGTTGTCTCACTGCGGGAGGTAGGACAGAGCGAGTTTGCTCCTCGTGGGAGTTATCTCGCTGTGGTTTCGTAGATCCGAGGGAGTTGGCTCCTCGTGAGAGTTATCTCGCAACGGGTTATAGGACGGAGCGAGTGGTCTCCTTGTGGGAGTTATCTCGCTATGGTTTCGTAGACCCGAGGGAGTTGGCTCCTCGTGGGAGTTGTCTCGCTGCGGGTGGTAGTACTGAGCGAGTTGGCTCCTCGTGGGAGTTGTCTCGCAAGCCCCCCACTCTCGAGACGATGTGGAAGCCAAGTAGAAAAGGGTACCGGATCGTGTTGAGAGTAGATCGGTGTTGTAGTGTTTCTTTAATCGTTGGCATGGCGTGGAGAAATAAATTTTTTATTTATTTTCCATTTGATAGCGAACGCAATTTGGTAGGTGTGTTAAAGAGCTCGCGCAATTTGGTGGAGCGCGTTGAAATTCTCTCGCGATTTGGTGAAGTGAGGTGAAATCTACGCGCAATTTGGTGGAGGGTAGCAAAAGTTGTGCCCAATTAGGTGGGAGCGCGCGCTCCAAGATGGCCTTGGGAGGCGCGCGCGCGTGCATGGGAAGGCGCGCGCGCGTGTGCAAGAATTTCTTTTTTTTTTTTTTTTTTCTGGCTGCTTGCGCGCGTGCAGTGCACGCGCGCGCGTCTGGCGCGTGAACGCCACGCGCGCGTGCTGTGCACGCGCGCCTCCTGCCTTTTTTTTTTTTTTTTTTTTTTTTTTTTTTAATGGAGCCGCGCGCGCGCGTCTTGGCTCGGCTCGCGCGCGCGGCTCGGCTGCTTTCTCCATTTTTATTTTTTATTCTCTTTTTTCTTCTTCTTCTAATTTATCTTCTTTTACTCTCTTTTTTCTTCTTCTTGTTCTTGTATTTTTTCTTCTTCTTTCTTCTTCTCTTTTTTCATCTTCTTCTTTTTTCTTCTATTTTTTCATCTTCTTCTGGGGTCTCGCGTACGCGATTTTACCCCCCCTTTTTTTTTTTTGTTGATATTCACCCCCATGGGGATGTTCTATTTTTTTGAGTAGGGAGATTATCCTTGTTCCTTGAGATGGGATGTGCACCCCCTTGGGGATGTTCTATTTTTTGAGTAGGGAGATTATCCTCGTTCCTTGAGATGAGATGTGCACCCCCTTGGGGATGTTCTATTTTTTGAGTAGGGAGATTATCCTCGTTCCTTGAGATGAGATGTGTACCCCCTTGGGGATGTTTTATTTTTTGAGTAAGGAGATTATCCTCGTTCCTTGAGATGGGATGTGCACCCCCTTGGGGATGTTCTATTTTTTGAGTAGGGAGATTATCCTCGTTCCTTGAGATGGGATGTGAATCCACTTAGGGTTGAGAGGTAAGGGTCATGCCCAACCTTAGGTTGGGGATAATTGCCCACTGTATGATGAGGCGTTCGAGACCTATGGTCTGAGGTGGATGCGCACGGTTGTGCCATTGGTTCGCGCGTGCGCGTCAGACCCTTTTTTCTGTTTTTGAGGTAGGGACGTGAAACACTTGATGGGATGTGAGACCCCTTGGGGTTGAAAGGTAAGTGGATGTACCACCCTTGAGATGAGATGCCCAACTTTAGGATGGGATAGCCCCCCATTTAGGATGAGGCGATCACGAACCACTGGGGTGAGATGCTCAACCTTGGCGATTTATGGCGCCACTGATTCAGTGGCAGCACGAGTTGAATCTTCCGTGATCATACGCTGAAGGTTTCCTTCGGTTATCTGAACCGTTCGAGAAGTAAATAGAAATTGATCATGTTGATGATCCAGTGGGGCCTCACGAGGAGGATCGTTGGCTCCTGCTATGACGATGTATGGTGCCACTGCTTCAGTGGTAACACAAGTTGAAGCTTCCGCGATTATACGTTGAAGGTCCTTATCGGTTATCTGAACCGTTAAAGGAGCTAGTAGAAGTTGATCTTGTCGAAGGTTCGGCGATCATATGCTGAAGGTCCTCTTCGGTTATCTGAACCGTTCGAGGGGGCGGAAGTAGACCCCCAGAGAGTCGATGACCCATGGCGAATGAAATGTTTTGGGGGCACTGTGAACCCCCAGGGAGTCGATAGCCCTTGGCGAACGAAATATTTTGGGGGCAGTTGTAAGCCCCCAGGGAGTTGATAACCCTTGGCGAACGAAATATTTTGGGGGCGATGTAAACCCCCAGGGAGTCGATAACCCTTGGCGAGCAAAATATTTTGGGGGCGATGTAAACCCCCAGGGAGTCGATAACCCTTGGCGAGCGAGATGTTTTGGGGGCAGAGGTAAGCCCCCAGGGAGTCGATGGCGGTGGTGCCATAGGTGGCTCCACATGTGGAGCAGGTGCTGGTATCGCGTTGGGAGCATTTGCTCCCATCGTGGCGATATATTGGATCACGGCCTCTGTGGCAGCGCGAGTTGAAGCTTCTGCTATCATGCGTTGAAGCGCATCCTCGGTTATTTGAACCATTCGAGGAGCAGGGAGTGATGGATCGGCGAGTGGTGGGTCCCGAGGGGGGATCACCTGAACCTCGCGAGGCGGATCCATAGGATGGGGAGGAGGTGGCAAGCCAGAGCCTCCACGAGGTGGGAAGTCGTTAGCTGTGTCATTTTCTCTCCGAGCAGACGCCTCAGGAGGATCTTGTTGGCTACGTGATCTGGTTTGCATCGTTCCCACAGACGGCGCCAAAATGATGATGCTAATTACTTAGATCATCTGGGGTGGTGTAGAAAATGAGCTGGGAGAGCAAAGCAGATCAGTAGCTTGACAACTTGATGATCCTGAGGTACCTGCGATCATAAAACACGTGAGCTAAGCCGGGGGTTGATCCGGCGGAAACCCCTCCGACGCTCAAGTCAGACGTGCTGATCATAGAAATAGTCCAGAGAATACGTATTATAGTATTGCTCAGTTAATAGGACGTACTTTAATAAAATGAGTAAAACCTCTATTTATATGTCGTTTATTGGGTTGAGTTTGCTTTGTTGGGCCCAAGTCTTACTTGAAGGTGTTTGGGCCTCGGTGATATTAGTCTTCGATATTGGGCTCGTAGCCCAGTAGGTAAACAAATTGTAGGCCCATTGGGTTGGCCCAATTAGGGATATCACATCTAGATAACGGTTAGACTTCTAATTACATTAATTCAAATCGAACAAACAACAAATAAATTTGTAACCTTCATTAGTTTCTTTTTCTGTATTAATATTGATGAAGTTCGTTTGAACCTCCTCAATGCATTGATCTGTTTTCCCCCATATTTGTGTGTATTGATCTGTATTTTTTGTGGAGTGTGTGTTCTTGCTTCTTGAAAGAGAGAAGACCCGAGCAGACCCCTTCATTTATCGTCTCTCTTATTGCCTTATCCCCTCTTCCCTTGGGATACGTGCCAGCGAGAGGAAGAATCAGGTGATGGGTTGGGCTGGTAGATTTCAATAAATGGGCCCAATCTCAAGCCCATTTATTGTATGATTTGGGCTTAGGCAAATCAGCCAATCTTAATGGGCTGATGTTGGGCCTGCTGGGCCGAAGAGAGGAGTTCATGGTGGGCTTTTGGGCCTGGAGAAATCTGCCAAGATCAAATATCATGTAATCTCACAAGGCAAGCAAGTGACTTCATAATTTAAAAAGGAAAGAATAAAAAAAATCTAATAATTACGTGAGGTTATTTATAACTTGTGATATTTTTTTATTCCAATGGAGGGTCCTTAGCTCAGTGGTAGAGCATTTGACTGCAGATTAAGAGGTCACCGGTTTGAATCACGTAGGGCCCTAAATTTAGGGTAATTAATAAAAAACTTTGCACAGACACATCCAAATTCGTTATTTTGATTCATTTAACCATTTAGGACTAATTTTTGGGCGTATTCTCAACATATTCCGGGGCGCGTGATATGCAGACGCTTAATGTAATGATTTTTTTCGTCTTTTCAAGTCAAACTAAATTTATTTCGGTTAACTAATTTGTAGGGCCTATAGGTAGAGATGTTATTAGATGGATGAGTATTTGCGATAGGATTCTTCTTGATTGGTGAATCGCTTCAAGATTATATTTTTTGCGTCGTTTTAGGCGGCGGAGGTGGTGTACGAAATTAATGCTTGATTGGGCTTGGAGTAGAGCTTGGCTGGCATATTTCACGGTGTTTTTTTCTCCCTCGAAGGCGGGGGAGAAGATTGTTGCTACAAGGGAAAAAGCATTAATGGAGTGAAGGTGAAAGGGGCGACAAGAAAATCCATTTTCTCCGTGGAAATTTGTAGCTTAGGGTTGAGAACCATTAAATCGTGGAACCCAATACATACAACAAAACGCAAAATTAGGGGGAAACATTAATTAATGCGGAACGATCGGGCCTCGATTCTTGCTTTAAAATTGTTGAAGAACAAATTGAATATGTATAAGCAGTGTTAGAAGAAGAATGGTGGTGGCCGATGGTGGGTGTCGGGTGGAAATGATGGTGGCCGGTGGGGGTTGGGAAATGAAAAAGGAATAGGAAACAAGGATAATGAGAAGAAAATGAAGTGAAAAAAAGATGACGATGATGTTAGTATGTGTGTGCGATGTGTGTGTGAGAGCGGAAAAATGAGAATGAAAAAAAGATATAGGGCCCACAAGTAATTTGGAGTTCAAAAGACAAAAAAATCTTTACATTAGGCGTGTGCAATTCACGGGCACCGATTAGCCTGGAAATTAGCCATAGGTGTTTAAGTGGTTCAAATAACGAGTTCGGGAGTGCCCTTGCAACTTTTCCTTTGTTTAGGTGACAATGTGCAAAAACAGCAAAGTACAAGTGCCAAAATGGTATTTATCCTTTCTTTTGGCCTTGAATTTTTAATATTTTAAACTTGAAAATAAATATAACTAAAAAATATAATTTAAAAAGCCCCCGGCGAGGATCGAACTCGCGGCCTTTCGCTTACGAAGCGAACGCAATACCACTATGCTACGGAGGCTCGTTGTTGCTGATCTTCAGTACATAACTTAAATCCGTAATACGTATTTTTCGTTAATCGTAGAACAAATCTCCATGCTGTCTGCAATATTCAGAAGGATCATCCTCACAAATCTTTATAACTTTCGGTTTTTGTAGTTGTATGTAAGAACACCATTCTTTCTGTGGGTATATTACACCTTGTAAGAATAGACGAACAATTTCCGGTGGAGCAGCAATCACTTCATCAAACAAAAACAAGTGAAAAAAGTTGATGCAGAAATATCCCACATCGGGAAAAGATAAAAGAGAACAAAGGAGAAGGGTATTATAAAAAGGAAAGAAGAGGCACTGTATTAGGCACTTACCTGGACGAGGTCAATTGACGATCATTAAGGTCAATGGCCTAGGGTGGTGACCTCCATTGCACTTTGGAGGGGCGCCCCCCTATGGTCGGCCCAAGTGGTCGAGCCAACGTCATAATTTGTGATAGTGGGGGCCTGCGTTCGCGCGGCCCCTCCCCAATTTCTAGTCCTAATTTTTTCAATTTAAGCCCAAATTTTTTAATTTCTGTAATTAAATACCTCTCATACTTTTTGTTCATATATATATATTATAATTTTTAATTCAAATTTTGAAATTTAATTCATAAAAGTAAAAATTAATTATCATTTGCGTCTATAACAATTTCTTTTTCCATTTTTCTGTTTCATAATCAACTTTTAGTAATACAATAATTATTTTCGTTTTACCAATTTCATTGACCCAGTACTTTTAGTAGGCATTTTACCCAATACTTAAAGCATTAATTACATAAAATTAAAGGGGCGAGGATCAAATTAATTAATTCTGATTTACAAATAATAATTACAGTGTTTCGGTGCGTTAAATTCATATTGACTACTGCCAGACCTTGTTTCTTCAACCACGCACTCACATGACTTCCCAATACGCACTCACACAGTTCCATCTGTTCTGGAAGAACGAGAAATTTACTGGAAAAAGTGAAACCATGCTTTAATTAATACTCCCATGGCTCCACTCTGAAAAAACCTCATAATTATCTCTCTCTCTCTCTCTCTCTCTCAAGTAGATCTGATCTCAAAGCAGCAAAGAGGTAACTGCAAAACCCTTGATTCACTCTTCCTCTCACACACGCACTACACACTTTATGTATGTGTAATATATACTTACATCTTTGATCATTTGATCGTGATGAACAGTTTTCTATTGCTTTGTTTTTGGCTTGAATTATGGTTTCACTTGAGTAAATCTAGCTGATTAAGTATCATTGTCAATTTTATGAATGCGATTTATTAAATTAGTGTTGATTGGGTTTTTTCTTCTCTTTTTCTGATAGGATTTGAGTTTGTGATTATATAATGTAATTTAGTTGTATATGAGTTTGATCTCAATCAACTAGGTTGAATTTGTAACATTTTCAGATTGATCTGAGACAGAGTTTTTACATGACAATTTAATTTTTTTATTTTTTGTTGAATTTGTGCCCAATAAAAAATTGTGAATGATCTGTGACTGATTCACTGGCTAATCTTGCTTAACCTAAGTTGACACAAGTATTCATGATAAAGCACCGTTTTCGTATACCGAAATGTCGATTTTTGATTCATTGATTTAACATGTCTGAATTTTGGCAATCTGTAAAGAAGAAGTAGAGAGATGGGTCGTGGAGTGAGCTGTGGTGGAGGACAAAGCTCGTTGGGGTATTTGTTCGGAAGCAACGAGGCACCAAAACCTGCTAAGGCGAATGTGGAAGCTTCTACTCCAAGTGAAAGTAAAGCGGTGATTAAAGAACCTTCCGTAAAGCCCAATGCCGCTCCTCAGCCTGCAGTTTCTACCAAGCAAATTCCTGCTGGCATTCATAGTAGCACCACTAACAACTACGTTCGAGCCGATGGTCAAAACACTGGCAATTTCATCACGGTAATTTACTCGATTTTTTTTTATTTTTTTTTTTGTAAATGGTTAATGTGGTTCTTGATTTGTTATATATCGTATAAACCTGTGATCTTTTGGATGGTAATATATATCTATGTCATGTGCATCACTCGAAAATTGCGTTGCCGTAATTTTTAAATTTAATGAAGTTTTGGTTGATTTTAAGTTTTTAGTCTAGAGTTTATTGCGTTGAACGACCCTGTGTTACATCTAATTGCTCAAAGAAAGCGTTGTGTTACAAATATTACCAAATGCCCCCTATAATGCATTTTCAGCACACAACCCTCTAAATGATGCATTTTTGGGGGGTATTTTAAATGATGCATTTTTGGGGGGTATTTTGCTAAATATTTATAACACGGGCAGTTTTCTAACAATTGGAATAAACAAGGGGTGTTGGATGCAATTAACCCGTCTGGATTTAGTGTATGACTCTTGATAATTGCTATAAGTATAGGATTTGTCTGTAGAGCAATGATTATTACATGATTAAATATTTGATGCTTAGTAGTTAATTAAATTAAATTTTGTGGAAATATGACAGGATCGACGGTCGACAAAAGTCCAAGCTGCCCCTGGAGGAGGTTCTTCTTTGGGTTACCTGTTTGGTGGTGGTAGCAATTGAAGCTAATTGCTGCAGAGCTGTATTGAATGAAGATTATTTTGTTTAATTAATGTTGAATTTGTGAGTAATTTGAGACCATATATTTTTCAAATTTGTTTTGATTTGTGGCTATATCGTATATGTTTGTTTGTCGTTCGAAACCACGACTTTAATAGAATGGATTTGTTAGCAATCCATCGAAAGTGATCGGTTTGTAAGAAAACGAAGTCATGTTTTCTTGTTGTTGTGTACCTTAAATGTTTGTATAATTTCTTTGTATTTGAACAAGTGTGGAAATATATATCTTATCAAATATGTCAAGCTTTGATGATTTCCGCTAATTCCGAGCCGATTTTTCTGATTTTGCAACAACTTCTGAAATCCCGGCTTTTTTTTGGAACTAAATAGAATTAGTTTTTCACTTACGAAAAAAATCGGAATGTAAGTGCTAATTCTGGTCCATCCGATTTCCATCACTAGAGCCATCAATTGCTTTCATTTGGACCATCAAACAAGAGTGCCATCACAAATAAATTAAGAATTCAACAAATACAATCAAAAAAAAAAAAAAATTATGCCAAATTTTAAGAAATTTAATCTGGGGGTAAAATTGTCAATTCACAAAATGACCCACCCAAACAGAAGGAAGGACCCTTTCCCACGAAAACCTCAGCCCTTCTTCCAAAGACCAATCGCAGACAATTTTACTCCCAAAGAAATTGTCTGACGATTTTCTCCCTCTCTCTCTCACACACACACACAGTAGCACGGAGGAGATAGCTTATCGGCGGCGGCGAAGAAGAACAAAAATATGCCAACATTAACAAAGCTTATAACGATGAAAGAAGCATCTGAACACAACACCGCCGAGGATTGTTGGGTCGTCATCGACGGGAAGGTATTTCCACTGATTCTATACTTAACTCTCCTTAGGTTAAAAATTGACCACTAGTTTATTAATTTATTGTTGATTTTTTTTGGGGGTTTTTGGATTTATGCTATTGTAGTTGAATATTGAATTGAAAGGTTGAATTTTTAGGGGGTTTTAAAAAACGTGGCTTTCTGCTCTTTGAACTGTGTTTAATCTTTGTTTATTATGCTTATATGCTCCATACAGAAACTAATCGTATTAATGGGTTCAATTTGTTCGGAGATTTAAGTTTGACTTTCGTGATTTAATTTTTTGGGTACTTTTTGATTACATACAAGCTTTGTAGGTATTGTTGTTCTTGAAATTGCTGCAGTTATCATTCTCATCTGTTGCGTTGAGGATTTGCTAGGTTGCAAAATGTGACAGTGGTTGTAAGTAGTGTGGATTTTCTAAATAATTTTTCGTATATATTCGGGGATGAAGAAGAGTCGGGTTTTAGTATCTTTTTTCTTTGACGTTGTGCTGTATAAATGTCACTCCGGTAACGTATTTGTTGCTATAACTCAAACATTCCGAATAAGTGTTTATTGCGTAACTAATCAACCACGTTCTTGACTACGGCATTCATTCTTGTTATTATGCATCACAATTCTAGTTTCTTGGTTTGATGATGTTGGATAAAGAAAAAGTAGTTGGGACTTTGTACTTGTGGAGCACGTTATAGATTAGCACTCGTCTCTATAGTTTTCAGCTTCACGTGTCAACAATCTCGTAAGTTGCATTTCGATAATTTGTGAAAGGGATTTCGGAAGTAGGATTTGAAATGATTCCATCAAAGATGGATTTGAAGTTCACCACAACGATTAAGAAATTAACTTAAAATAGGAACTCAAAAGGATTTAGAATCCATCTTATTGTTCAAACTAAGAATATCGACTCTTACTGTTGAATTACCAGGTGTATGACGTGTCAGCATATTTGGACGAACATCCAGGTGGCGACGATGTTTTACTCAAGGCTACTGGTAAGAATTCGCTCTCTCTCTTTCAAGTGCCTTTCTTGAAGTGTTCCGAAATATTATCTTATGCAGAATATTATTTTATTCCTTTTTCGAAGGGAAAGATGCCACCGAAGAATTTGAAGATGCCGGGCACAGCAAAACCGCGAGGGAACTTATGGAGGAATTCTGCATTGGAGAAATCGATGAACCACCTTCTCCTATTCCTGAGATGGAGATCGTATCCAAGAAGAAGCAACTTCCGCATAAAGTGTTGTACTTTACTAAGCAATACTGGGTTGTACCTGCTGCTGCTGTTGGCTTATCTGTGGTTGTTGGATTCTTGTACCTCAAAAGGAAGTAGAGATCTGGAAATCTCCTCCTCATTGGAGCTAAAGCTTATTACACAGTGCCAATTTTTGAATTTTCTAATACATTAGGGGTTTCTGAGCAAAAACCTCCATTTCTTTAATGCTGCGAAATTGGGGTCGAAACAGATTTCGTTCTTCGACATTATTATTATTATTTAGGAAAATGTTTATTTTGATTAGATTTTATTTGTTTAAACATATTCATGTTTTTCGAGTATTTTGAGTGGTGAAGCTAGAATTTGTTTTTATTGGGGGCCAATATATAATAAAAAGTTTCTAGGAGGGCCTAATTAAAAATTCGAATTCAACAAAAAGAAATTGAAAATTATATATATGGCCAAATTACGAAAAAATTCATCTTCTTTGTTTGATTACAGTCACTCCCTCTTTTTTAAATATTTTTACACAAAATTTATGTAATTCGGTTATTTATTGAACCAAATTGTATATTTAGTTCGGCAAATGGTATGAAATGTTGGCGTATGGAAATTTCAGTTCGTTTTTACCCATTTAACATCCGTAAAATTACCTATGGAGAGCTTTTTTCGTAAAATAATACATAGTTGAGGGGAAATCTGTAATTACTCAAACAAGATGGGGGTTTTTGCAATTTGACCATAACAATTTGCCCTATGCATAATGAAGAAGTGATTAAGTTTGAGGAGTTATATGACAAGTCCATAAAATGAAGGGGCGTATATGATATTTAACCTAAAACCATTATAAAGAGCCCTGAACTTGATTACACACACAAAAACACAGTGATTCCAATTTTGAAAATAACAAACAAGCAACAATGAATGAGGAGTGCAGAAGAACACGCTGTACGTTGGGGGTTTGGCGGAGGAAGTAAACGAAGGCATACTCCACGCGGCGTTCATCCCCTTCGGAGATATTAAGGATGTGAAAACCCCATTGGACCAGGCTACACAGAAGCACCGCTCCTTCGGCTTCGTCACCTTCCTCGAAAGAGAAGACGCCGCCGCCGCAATGGACAACATGGACGGAGCCGAGCTTTACGGCCGCGTACTCACCGTTAATTACGCGCTGCCGGAGAAAATCAAGGGTGGAGAAGTCGGCTGGGCAGCACAACCCAGTAAGCTTCATTCAATTGCTTTCTTATTCTTCTTCTCTTCTTTTTTTAGGTTAATTTCAGACATTTTTTAAAGCATCGATTGACCATTACTTGTTGGAATGCCTGATGGATAATTAGGATTAGAGCTTTAAATAATCAATTATTGGTGCAATTTGTTGGATGTAACAAATTAGGGGCAAAAAATAATTTATTTTTCAGTTAAATATTTGGAACCCTAACATTTGCTTAAAAGCTTTGATTAACAAGGCATTTCTGGTAGAGCTTGCTTTATTGGTTTAGTTTTCGATGTGTTTTTGGTTTCTTCAATTTGTTAGGTGTTCTTTGCCTTGATGTATGAACTAGGGTCTCCATGATTTGAGTTGCTTAATTGTTTATGCATTTTTCTTTGATTTTAGGATAAACGGGAAGTGTTATAGTTGTAATGGGCTATATAACATGGTTTTCTTCTGGGATCGGTTGCAATTTATTCCATCATTAAGTTAAAAAAAGATCCTGCTTATTACTAACGGTTGTTCTTTAATCACCATCTTATTACAATTGATTGAATTTCTGACATTTGCGTTTGGTTGAAAAAAAATGTCAGTTTGGGCGGATGCTGACACGTGGTTCGAAAGGCAGCAGCAAGAACAGGAGATGCAGAGGCTTCAATCGGAGCAGAAAGCAGCAATGCTCGAAGCTGAAGAATTGCACAGGAAGAAACTTGCTGAGGACCGAGATGGTGAAAAAGACGAAGAAGCTGATTCTGCTAAGGGTGATCCAATGGCTATGGCTGAAGCTCAGGTTTTGAAGCAGAATGCATCTTAATTCGTTTCGTTTTAAGACACAATTGCCAGCAGATTTTCTTACATATGCTCTTTTTTTTAATGCAGTTTCGTACGCCATTTGTATAACAAGTTACAGCAAAGCTAATCTTTGTTATTTGTGTAATAGCATTTCTTTAATATCAGACTATGGTTGTCAAACAATGGTTTACGATGTTAAAATGGAGCTTTCGATTTTCGTTGCATTTTTTGTGTGTCATAGCATTTCTTCAAATACCCTTTTGCAAATTGGTGATATGGGAACAATAGCAACTATTTACCTGACCATCCAAAGATTTCCAACAAATATTACATAACAAATCAAGAAGAATTGCTCAACCGCAAGAGAAATTTCTTTCCTTTAATTTCCTCAAAATAGAGTTGAAAAAGAAAAGCAAAAAAAACTGCCCTTGACGAGGCAGGTGGCACAAGACAATCTCCCATGTTCAAACACTACACGCAAGGATATTACGAAGTCGAAAATGTCCCACATTGGATTTTTGAGGCAGCTGCAAAATCAAGAAACCAAACCAAGTCACCATAGATCGGCCGGACCATCCTAGCTGGCAGTTCCGGCCAGTTGGGGTCAACCTCATCAATTGCCAGGTGGACCGCCTCCGCTTTGCCACCACCGGTGGCAACTATGGCAACATTGGAGGCGGAGCTTATCACAGGCAAGGTGAAAGTGATTCTCTCAGGTGGTGGCTTTGGTGAATCGGTGATGAAAGTCACCCACTGCTCTGTTTCTTGAAGAACTGGGTGATTGGGGAATAGGGACGCCACGTGGCCGTCGGGACCCAGTCCGAGGAGTACTAGGTCGAATTTAGGACAGTCGTTGATTTCGGACACACTAATGACACGTGTCTTTACTAGCTGTCTGATGACGAATTCGTAATCTTCGGCTGCTTGCTCTGCTGTCACTGAGTCGTTTATGGAGTGCACGTGGCTGTGAAGAATAGGTACCTGAAAATTTGTGACCGAAAGGCGAAATATATATAAAAATCGATTTTTTTAAACCACTACAAATAGATTTATTTGTTCCTAAAGGAAAGAAGTTCACTGAAACAAAGAAGGGAGATAGCTCTCTTTGCGGATAATGTATACATTACATGCCCCAAAAACTGCAATTTTACCGAGTGGAAAATCGCTTACATCTATCATTTCAACCATCTTTCGCGAGGAATATTTGAGTTGCATATGTAAAGGAGATCTTTAAACGGCATCTGTTGGCTATGGAAGCCCAATAGTGGATAAAAAACGGGAATATTACGACATTTCAATCCCTACATAAAGAAGTAAAACATTTCTCTGTGGTCCGTCCCTATGCAGATAGATAGATATACACACAAACAAGAATGCTATATCAATTGCGAATCGCATCTTCCACTTGGTTATAATACTAACTATTCTAACTAAGTGGGACAGGAATGTAATTAAGCACGATATGTACAATATACAAGGAAAAAGGAATACGAACAGAAGTTTATACATCATCGAATCACTAATAAAAATCTTGAAATATACCTTGGACAAAAACCGATCCTTTGCGAGCTTGTAATTGCTATCGGCATGGCTTTTGGAAACAACACGCTCGTCTACCCAAAATATGTACCATTTGGCCCAATCAACTGTCTTGCTGTAAGGGGCTTCACAGAGCTTTCTGCTCACCAAGACAATAAATTTTAATATTAAAATTAAATTCTAGTGTGAGAGAATAGTAAGAATCACAAAACATAAATGCATACATACATACATACCCCATCAAGGTGATGAGTGAGCCACCGGATAAGGCAATGGCGAAAACGCCGCGCTCTTTTATAGAAGCCTCTGATAATTCTGCAATATAATCTGCTAAAATGCTGCTCAGTTCATCGGCATTTTCGTAAATTCTCAGTTCTCTCCCATCATTCTTGTTCCCAGAAAAGGCCATGCTTCTCAAAAAAGGGGTAACCTTCAGTTCAAAGACACAACAGAAAATTCACCAAAAAAATAAAATAAATAATAATAATATATATATATATATATTTTTTTTTTGTTTATTAGAATTAACTAATGACGACAATTAATTAAGTAAGAACCCTAGAAACTACTACAATTTCACAACATTGTGATCGCAAAATCCACCGCTCAAAAAGATTTATTTAAAAAAAAAAAAAACCAGCAAATCGACCCAATTAGATTCAAAAATTCAATAGAAAAATCACACATTTAAACTTCTGGGGAATAAAAGTATTGTACTGCATGGGTGAATTCACAAACCCCAGAAATCGAAGCAATTGTGATGATCGGCGACCAAATTTTACTTCAATCACCACTCATACATCAGTGAAGAGAAGAATTAAACAGTAATTCTAGTCAATTTGGCACATGTGAAAAAATCCTCCATTTTCGCTCATAGTTGCATGTAAATGAATCTCAGATTTTTTAAAGGCCCATTTTTTATAAGAGAACAACAAAATTGCATTCGTGAAATCACATACATAAATAAGATATTTAGAAATTAATTTAACGTAATTATGCGAAATGAAACAGAACAGAGAGAGAGAGAGATAGAGAGAGAGAGAGACGCACAGAGGAGGGAGAAAATGTGTGCCGGAGAAGGAAGAAAGAATTGAAGATGGGAATACAATTCTTGTTCTTATATATATACACACACACACATCATGCTGAAATTACTGCATATTTTAATTTTACTGCTGAAATATATAATTAATTATATATAATTAAATTATTTAATTTTTAATTTTTTGGCTTAAAATAAATCAAAATATTAAGAAAAAATCACTGATAACATGATGCAATAGGAGAAGTACAAGGTTGAATATAACTATAATCAGACAAAAATCATAATATTATTCTTGTAATCACATTAACTTAATTGCATCATAATTTGAGAAATAATAAAATAAGAAAACATTAAAGATAATGATGTTTTATTTTTAATTTTTTAATTAATTAAGTGGGTAAAATGAATGCTCAACCAAACACCTGGTGCTGGTGTGGTTGGAATTTGATAGGTTTAGAATTTGCTAGTGACTTGCACGGTTTAAATTGAATATATTTAATTAATGCAAGCTGATTTTTTTTCTTTTTCCTTTCCTTTCACTCCTTGTTATATTTATCTATCTATTAACTTTACTTAAAGTTATTCCCCTTGATTTATTTTTTTCTTAGAAAAGTTATTAAGTACTTCTCTTTTAAATAGGGCTCCTTTGGCTAAGCTTAATTAAAACAACTAATAAGCTCTTACGTCTGATAAGTTGTTTTAAGAGCTGATAATCTGTTATTTATTATTTTTAGAATTAATTTTTAATTCTAGGTACACTAATTGAACTCTACGTTCATGCAATAAAATAAAAACTATGCGCGGAGTCTAAACTATATTAGACAAACTCTTTACAATGAACTCGATCAATTTTGTATATTCTTACAAGGTAAATCGAAATCGAATCATTAAACAATTTTGTTGTTGATCAATTTGTTGGTATATGAATTATTGGGCATCAAATCTTGGACATCAAATTTGATTATCAAACGTCCCATGTGTGATATAGTGATTTGGGCCTTAGTAATATCAAACCTTTTGGATTGCATTATTGGATTTGCCCAAGTACTCTCTAATTTCTTTTAATTGCTTGCAAGAATATAATAATTGAAATAATCCAATTTCACACGTAATGAATTTTCAGTTCGATTCGGTCGGTTTACGAGCCCGAGTTAACACCCATAACAGATTTATGGGATTCGGTGTGAAAGTGAAATTATGCCATTTCAATCAAAATCTATTCCCATATCGATGCAAAACCAACTTTATGTATGTTTTTTTTACATCAGATATCATGCCAACCATCATTTTCTTCAATTTTCTCTCCTAAAAAAATATATAAAATAAAATAAATGATAAACATATAATATATATATATATTAAAAATAAAAGGGAGAGATAAGGGGTGGGGTTGGGAATCTAAAGCCATCAAAATCAAGCAACAGTGGCAAATTAAAATACATGGAGAGGCTGAAATTTAAAGATATACTATATAAATGAGTTCCCCACTAATTAATAACAGCCCCACATATGAAATAATGACAATTCAATATCTCTATTATTTTACCTCACTTTTCAAGAATCTAAGCATTATTAAATCCTGACATATTATTCATGGGACCTTACACATTTTTCACTTCATTTAATTTCACACGAACCAAATTTATTACATTCAGAATAAAAAATAAAAAATAAAAATCTTTGTTTCGTTAATTATCTCATAAGAAATTAGATGGCTTGATATTTAAGAAATAGTGCAACGATTATTTGCCACTAATTAATTACTTAATTATAACTGTATATCTTGTCTTCTTATTTCTTTTATTTCTTAGTATTGTCAGAGAAAGTAGACAAAAAAAGGTTTCCATTATTACATTTTATTACAACCTTAGACGATGCAATTATTATTACTTTTTTTATTTATTAAATTCAATTTTTTTTTTATTTCCCAGTAAGTTTGGACCATCAGTAGTTGGGAATCATAAACCAACCATCTCATCATTCAACTGCTTCTGCTTCTGGTTTTTATTATTTTTTCTTTTTTATTTTTTCCACTTTTGATTCCACCAAATTATGAAACATCCATTTTTTCTGATCTCAAATATACAAACACATCATGTGCCACATAAATTATTTTTCATATTTTATATATTTAGGGCAAACTAAAATCCATGCACAACATTGTGCACCAGCTACAGAAATACCTAATCATGCCTTTACAAATTTGCAATATTTATATATATATAAAAAAAAGATTGTAACTAATAGTCATATATGTAACTATGTAAGTGAATTTATTATTTTTTTTAATTTATTTATATTAATAATAAATTTCTTTTATGACCAATCATGTTTGTTTGAGGGATTCACTTGTTTTGGAGTTAAGGCAGTGGTTAAATATTATCCTAGACAAGCATGTTTGTCTACTTATACAATTACACTTCATTATCTAATAATCCATTTTCAGATAATTATATATATAAATATAACAAAATGTTTTTTTGTCCTTTTCATAAATGGCTGTCTTCTCTTTATATTATTATGTGGCATTATACTCCCATGTGATACTTCTGTCTTGTTTAAATCACTACCTAACATATATATATACATATACTTCATTGGTTTAGAGGGTCCATTTTGGTAAATTTTAATTATTAATTAGTGATGCAAATAGGTCCAATATGTTTCATTTGTCACATATTCATATAGGCCTACAACTATATATACACATATACATATAATATGCTTCACACGAATGAAAGTTGGTTTGTGGTATGACATAATATGATTTAGGTCTGAATTGTACATTAAGTAAATTTCTTAAGTGAACTTTGTCTGAATTGACCCAAGTTCGAATTTCATTGCTAACGGTCGCTAAGTCAAGCTCGTCACACATGATTTGACTAGTGTACGTGGTTTATGTTTCTCGTCTGATTTGAAAGTTATTATACGAGAGTGTAGTATTTACCGAGTACATCTATATATGGTTGGTTCGTTAAAAAAAATAAAATTATCCAATCAAACCACCTTACAGCCTTCCAAAAAACAAAAAAAAAAAAAAAAAAAAATTAAATCACTCTCTATTTTTACATATAAAAAATGTGTTGACAAACTAATTAAAAAGAAAAAAAAACACCCTCCATTTTTCTTACACTTGGCAATGCTACAAAAAAAGTTTGGTCCCCAGTTTAATTTTTAATATTTATATATGTTTTTATAATTTTTCCAAAAAACGAAGTTCCCAATTTCGTAGGTGGTCCAAAATATTTATTGAGTTTGCCTGTATTTATTTAATGTTACACGGCCATTTTTTTAATGCTTCTGTGATTTCAAATTCTCCAAATGTTATTTTCAGTTACACGCCAACAAAACTTTATTCTTTGGTTCAAGAAAATTCATACACATTGATTGTACGGTTGAAATATAATTATCAAATAAATATAAATACATATTTGTCACATAGTAGTAGGGAGAGGTCTATTTCATATGAAAAGACCGATGGTTTGAAGTTTGCATGCACCATAGACAAAATGTTGACATCTCTACTTTTATTTGATGCTGATTTCTTTATCGTTATATTAATTTTTTTTTGCGTAAAATAATATCGGAAAATAAAATTACTCGTTTCAATTCTTATAAAGCAGTTGGGCCAAATGATTTATTTAATTTATTTTACACAAATATATATCTTGAATTCTTTTTCGGAAATACCGGAAACTTGATAAGTTTGAAATGAAGCCCAAAGGGCTAAACCAGCCCACGCTAATGGGCTGACCTTGAAAATATTGAGCTCATGTAAAATATGTATCGTTCTGTGTATAATTTAAATAAATATAATTTGATTGCGTCTAATTATTTGGCTTCATTGTTTTTATATAAATCATGAATATTTTGGCAACTTAATCATCCAGATTCACTATTAAACACATTGTTGACTATACACTTGACTCTTATAATTTATATTTTAATACCAGACTCAAATTATATTACCAAATTTTCATACAATATACCAGCAATATCTCAAGATCAACCTTTTTCCAATATCTATGTGGTACCGCTAC